CAAGTGTAAAATACTATATATAGCATAGCTTGTAAGCATTAAAACTTAATGAAGTAATCTGAAAAGTCTCTACATTTCTCTCTCTCTTTCTCTGTAAACCTTTCATTTCTTCATCAGATTCATAGTGTTAATAAATATTAGGTAGATAAAGTACAATATTTTCTGGTGGATGCCGTAGTAGATGTAGAAAAAGGTGTTTATGCATTTGTTAATATATAGAAAAGGGTGTGCATATTGTTATGTTAAACAAGCATGCATGTAAAGTTATATCGTAAGTTCATAAAATAAAGAAGGAAATCATTATTCCCTAATCACGAATTGCTTCTTTTCAAAAGGGGGAGTTTGGTTTCTCTGACATCTCATGATCATACCCAAAGTTGATATTTGATATGGGAATTAACTTGGCTCCTCAATGAATGAGGAGAAGTTCCTCCTTAAATTACTATGTATGTAGCCGATTCACGGAACTTTATTCTTATGATCGGAAGCGTTCATAATATAAATCACTATATAAAGATCATCTCTGCAACCAAGTAAATATTATAAATCATCAAACTATATAAAAACAGATGAATGAATTAAAAACCGTCTATCTATTTACTACAATTGATTAACTAAAAACCTTGATTTTTTGTCAAAGTAATCTGTATAGAATGATTTATAATATGAACTGTTCTTATAATAAGTACAAGATTTTATAAACCGTTCACTTAATGAATTGAATAGAAACTCCTCCTCAATCTTAAGGAGCCAAGCCTCTCTATTTCTTATATATTTGTAGCTACTATTCAATTGAGCATCTTTATTTATGCGTCAACAATCTGTTGGTAGATAAAAGGACTACACCCTATCTGAAAATACCACTTCCTCTATAAACCCCAAAAATAAAAAGTAGATGGAACTTGATGACCTCGGTTGTGAAAAGCAATCATACTTATTAATACACTTCAATGCGACTTCAATCCCTCTCTTTCTTAACACAACTTAATCTACTAACGATATCACTTGTCCAGAAAAAACAAAAAAAAGAAGATAAAACTAACCGAAGCCATTGTAAGTTGCCCCTTATTAGGATGTACTAAAGGGCTTATATATACTCTCTTATTACCCCATTAATTTAAACAGCACACATTCTACGATTCTAACACAAATGAATTAGTATCTGAATAATGAAACAGCCAAGAATGATCCACACACACACACACACACACAATATATATATATATATATATATATATAAGCTTCAATTACCCAATTAACAAAGGAATTATGTAACTTCAAATTCGAATGTGTAAAGGGGTAAAGAATACTATGAGTTAACTTATGAAAACAGTATATTTACTAAAAAAATAAAATGCATGCAGGCTAGCTGGTTTTTGTGAGGTCGACGACAATCACACTAATGTTATCTCTGCTTCCCCGAGCCATAGCTACGTCAGCCAAGACTGCTACTGCCTCAGATGTGCGACCTCGGACATTTAGGAGAAACCCAATGTTCGTCATCAATGGAAACTCTCCTCATTCGGCCACGAAGACACTTCTTCACCACCTGACATGCTACGTCGATTGACATAACATCCCACAGCCCATTGGTGCCTATTAAAAACAGTGGACACTGAATTAAGTGGCAAACATCAATTATTGCTACCATGCAGCCATGAAATTGGGGTACATATCCTCTATAGGAGTCTCTATTGTGACAAACACCACCATTTATACATCGGTGTGCGAAGGAATAGTAGAGGTCTAAGATATTTATCTTTTTGTTTATTTGTTTATTAAAAGGTTGAAATATTTTGTACCTACTTCAATTCTTGAAGCAAAATTCAAATTTAAATCCTAAACCTACACAACTTGCTCTAACTCTTGAGTCAAATATGAGTTATGAATCCATCTCACTTGGGATGGCTGACTAATGTGACAGAGTAAAGTCGATCGACACCGTGAGAAGGGGAAACAGGTTGCCTCCATTCACCGTCGGCCTACCCTTCTCCCCTCTCTGTTATTTGAAAAAAAAAAGAAAAAAGCAAAGATGCACAGATGAACGAAGTGTTACCAAACCCCAGAAATATATGTTATTCAATTACAATATTGGATTTCAATTAGCGATTGAGATTAGAATTTGGGATTTTTAGATTGGGGATATTTGCTCAAATGACAGAGAAGGGACAAAAGCGAAGAAATGATTGAGATACAAATATTAATTAAAAAATTAAAAAGATTAAATGTTAAAATAATGCTCACTATTATAATAAGTATTACTAATAAACGTAGAAAGCTAAAAGACACACCCCATTGCCTTATTTTCCCACCCACGTTATAATCCCACCCACCTTAAAAAGTTAAAAAATTAAAATGCTATTTTCTCATCCACTATTATTCCCAAAATAACCCTTAATATATACGTACAATGTGAAATTATAAATTTGTCTCTTACAAAATGTAACAATAATATGTAAATGAAAACCACTAAGATCTGCAAATTCAAATGGAAACTACAGAGGTATCCAAATTCAAAAGAATTCGACAACTACAAATTTAAAAATACGATGGATAAATTCAAATAACCTACACACAAATTATTCTTCTACCTTTTCAATGGAAACATAATCTTCTACCTCCTCCGTAGAAGTGTCATCTTCTAAGTTCATTGCTATTTTTTTACTTTCTCTGAATGAAAGGAGATGAAAATATGAGTTAGGGTTTAAGGTAGACAAATTGTCTCCCATGCTCAACCTTTTTTTTTTTTTTTAAATTGTTAAACTAAGCAAAACAAGATAATTAATGTCTTTATCAGTTTTTTTGTAAATGGACAAATTTGTAATTAAAAAATTCATTAAAAGATGGGTGGGAAGATAAGACATTGAGGTGAGAATAACATCACTCTAAATGTAAATGTTAATTATGTCAAATAAGGGGGCACTTAACAAGTTTAGAGGTGTTGGAGAGAGATTGAACGATTGAGATACAAATATTAATTAGAAAACTTCATTTTAATTTTTTTAAAAAGATGAGTTTTAGATTATAACCTTGTGTAAGATTAAAATCTAATTTTAGTTCCTAGTATATTTAATCATCTCATTTATTAGTTATATTTTGATGTTTTATTTATCTTTTTATTTTTATTTTCATGTATTAATTACATTTAAATTTAATTTTTATTTCATTCATCATAATAAATTTTAATGTCTACATTTAGGCAACTAATTTTTTTATAATATATATTTTGATATATCCATCGATACAAACATATAGGTACATTAATTCAATATAATGCATTTCGGTACGTATATTTTGATACACACATTTGAGTATTGACTTTTAGGTACATTTATTCAATATACTATATTTCAGTACATACATTTCGGTACGTATATTTTGGTACATACATTTCGGTATTGAAATTTAGGTACATTAATTCAATTTAATACATTTAGGTATACTAATTCAATATAATACATTTCGGTACATACATTTAGGTTCATTATAGTATATTTCGGTACAATCATGTAGGTACAAAAATTTCAGTACAAAAAGTCAATTTATATATTTCGGCACAATCATTTTTGTACACTTATGTAATTATATATTTTTGTATCAAAAATTTCTTTTAATATTTTCTCATTTATGTTCATTTATAATTAAAGAACTAAATATGTGCATATTAATAAAATTAAAATTTAATGTGGAGAGATTAAATAAAAATACACGTTAAATAACAAAAATTCAATGTAAATTTTGATAAAAGTACACTTTAAGGGATTAAATTGAATATGTAATCTCGCACCAAGTTTTTTTTTAAATTTTAATCTTGTGCAAGAACTAATGTTCAAAACCCCCAATATTAATTAAAATATTAAAAAAATAAAATGCTAAAATGATGATTAACGCACTATCATAATAAATACTAACAAAGGTCGCATACTTTGTAGGGGTGGGCACTTGGAACCGAAAACTGAAACACGAATCGAATCGGACCGCACTGAACGGTTTGGTTTTGCAATTTGAAACGGTTGCAATTTTGAAACCGAACTGCGGCAAAGAAAACGGTTTGGTTTCAGTTTTGGGTTTTCAAAACTGCACCGAAACCGAAACCGCACCATATTGAATGTTATGTTTTAATTAGTTCAACTACACTAGTCATGTTCAATTTTGCACCACTATTCGAGTCCATACATCTCTCTCTCTCTCTCTCTCTAAAAAATCATCGTCATCTCTCTCTCAAAAGATATCTGATGATATCATTTGTGTTTTCTAGAATTGCAGTTGGTAAGGACACCCAAAATGTTATTCGTTGGTTAGGTCCAAATTCCATCTCCCTTTCCATATTCCAGTTTGCTTGTTGGAACGTTAGGAGTCCTATTTCTACCCTAAGCTGATGGTATGAGAAAACTTATTGCTGCTCAAAATCCTAACTTAGTTTATATTGTTGAAACTGGAGTGAGATTGATATCAAGTTTTAGACGCAACAGTGAAACCGAAACGAATCTCTAGTTTATATGAACTAAATTCACTCATGCTACTTCGACCAAGTAATTACAAATTCTACAAAGAGTAAAATGGTCTTCCTTCCTTGATAACAGGAAAGCCACTCACGTGGAGAACAAAGGAAAGTCATGGTTCCCATCTAAATTATGGGCTTTGTGAAAAGCATGGAGACAAACTGACAAGGTTCCCAAGACAAAGGAAAGACAAGTCAAAACAAGTCTTTTTCACAATAAAAAATGGGGTGTGCTATCCACACACCCCTTTTTACTTCTCACACACCCTTTGTTAATTTCTGTTCGTTGATCTTCTTCAATTCATTCGATCCGACGACCCAAAATTAGAAGGGTGTGTGAGAAGTAAAAAAGGGTGTGTGGATATCACATCCCTAAAAAATGATCCAGCTTTCATGCATTCAAAGTCTTATTTCAAATAGGATTGAATTCCTATGGAACCTATTAGAGAAAGAAAGTGCAAACGAAAAGGAAAAGTAAAATTAAACATGTAGTAAGAAATGATACCAAGCCAAAGTCAAATGCCAAAATATTAGTGGGTTTATCAGAAATAAACCCTTTAATTTTACTTTACGCTTAAACGGCACAAAACCACTTTAAATGGGACCAAGCTGACTCAAATGGCTCAAAGCCGATTCAATGGCTCGAAGCCGTATTAAATTTTGATGGCACAAAGCCGCAACAAAACCCAATGGCACGAAGCCGAAGAAAAAGTCAAATATCAAATGGTATGAAGCCTCAACAAAATCTCAAATGGCACAAAGATATGTCAACTGGCACGAAGGCGTATCAAATTTCAAATTGCATGAAGCCAAATCAAATTTAAATGCTCCAATGACCCAAAGTCCTCGCCCGCACGAGCTAAAACTGCACAAGGCATCAACCGCTCCAACAGCTTAAAGTCTCCATCTGCATGAGCTAAAACTGCGCAAGGCATCAGTTGCTCCTTGCCTGCATAAGTTGAAACTACATAAGGCATCAAACTCCAACAAAACACATAAAGAACTACGAGTGAATTGATCCCTCAACGAGGGTACGTAGGCAATCTAGGGCTCTACCTAGACGCAGTCACAAAATCAAATAAACACCAAAATCCCCAAGTTATGATTTATTCATATTTGAATCAAAGGGTATTCATTTCCCAAATGAAGGACAGAGTTCAAAATTTGTAAAGTTCACGTGAGTAAACAAATGTTGTTTTATTCTCACATGGGGTAACATTCCCAATGAAATTATGAACTTTGATGCGTGCATCATCTATTGGATATCTAGGAACTTTGTTTACAGACTTTTCTCTTACTCTTGAAAAGTGTTGGAGTTTCACTTAGTCAAAGTAGTAGGAACAAAAGTAGGCCTATCTTTCCTAAGGTTGCCACGTGAGTTTCCCAATTACTTTGGGAAGTTTGACAACAAGTTTTTTTCTTTTCCTTTGAACTTGGGTTGAACTCTTTCAAGTCCAAATAAAACTTCATGTGGTGAAAATAAGATCACATCCACAATTTGTACTTACTTTCGATGTGATAAAAACCTCTTTATATTTTAGGCTAAAGTTCTTCTTTTCCTTTTGAGTTTTAAACTTGTTTTTTTTTTCTTTTCCTTTGCAGCTTCTTGACCATTTTGCTTATCTTTCGAATTCCTAACACAAAGACTTTGGGTGAAACTCTTGAACAACACATTCTTTTCTTTTCCCTATTTGTCTTGTAGCATCTGTTAATTTTACTCACTTTTCCTTTACAAACCATCTTTTCCTTTGCAAACCATTTTTTCCTTTGCAAGCCTTCTAGATGCCTGAGCAGCCCTTTGTATTATCTCCTCTGTTAGTGACCTGAGAGCAATCTTCATTCCCGTTGGTGCTTGAAGTTGGCGTCATTGTGGCACCCTTTGTAACGCAGGAAAACTTAGGCTGATTTCGTTGTCGCTCGTCCATGCTTCTTGTTGTTTTTCCATGTTCATGCTTGTTGATGTAGTGTTCGACATTTTCAACTTTAAGAAGACGAAGCATGGCGTCGGGACTCTCACGGAACTTTCAGGTTTGATTGGAACTTCACTGGGTGGTTTAGACCATACCGAAGAAATTCATGGGACTAACTGCAGCAGCACAAACTGCTCATTTTTCTTCTTGGCATGGACGAACTTGCTGGGCAGATATCACGGCATGGCTGCTGCTTAGCCAAAGGAAGAAGAGGACGAGGGAGAGTGAACACTGCATTACTGCGTTCCATTTTTGGTCTTCTGTTTGGTATTGGTGGTCTAATCCTGCTGCCACTGTTGAGAGACTTGGATTTGATCTCTTTTTTTTTTTTTTTTTTTTTTTTTTTTTTGTAGTTGCAGATCTTCAGAGACCTACGGCTTTATACTATATGGTTCGAAACCGCCGGAGAATAATAAACCGGTAGTCAGGGACTCGGTGCTGCTCGACCGAGAGAGAGATGAGGTGTCACGGGGAACTTGAAATAAGGGTGGTGACTGGGTTTTTTCAAAGCAATGCCCCCTATTAAAAGGGTGGGTTGCTCTTTACCCGTTGTCGGCAAGATTGTTGAGAAAGGAGAAGAGATTTTTTTCTTCCCTTATCTTTTGGCTGCCATAGGGAACACTTCTCATCCATCTTTCTGGCTACGCTCCTATTAATTACAACCCTTCATTTAGGAATGGAATACCTTTTGATTCTAATATGAATAAATGATAACTTGGGGATTTGGGTGTTTATTTGATTTTGTGACTGCGTCTAGGTAGAGCCCTAGATTGCTTACGTACCCTCGTTGAGGGATCAAGTCACTCATAGTTCCTTATGTGTTTTGTTAGAGTTTGATGCCTTGTGCAGTTTCAGCTCGTGCAGGCAAGGAGCAACTGATGCCTTGTGCAGTTTTAGCTCATGCAGACGAGGACTTTAAGCCGTTGGAGCGTTTAATGCCTTGTGCAGTTTTAGCTCATACGGGCGAGGACTTTAAACCATTGGAGCTTTTGATGTCTTGTGCAGTTTTAGCTCATGCGAGCAAGGACTTTAAGCCATTAGAGCGTTTTGGTGCCTTGTGCAGTTTTAGCTCGTGCGAGCGAAGACTTTAAGCCGTTGAAGTGTGATGTGGCTTCATGTCATTTGAGTCTTGTTACAGCTTCAAGCTGTTTGATATTTGATACGGCTTCATGCCATTTAAGATTTTTTTCCTTCAACTTCGTGCCATTTGACATTTGATACCGCTTCATTCCATTTGAAACTTGACATGACTTTGTGGTGTCCATCCCTATTTTTATTCACGGAGTCTAAAAATATAAAGCTCACGTGAATACAAATTTTTTTTTTTACTTCAATCTCATATGGAGCAACATTCCCTATAAAATTAGGAACTTTGTTGCATGAGCAGCATCCATTAATTGGAAGTCTAGGAACTTGTGCTTGAAGACTTCTCTTACTCTTTGTAGAATTTGTATTTACTTGATCAAAGCAGCAGAGGTGAATTTAGTTTATATAAACCAGGGATTCGTCTTGACTTCTTGGTTGCGTCTAAAATTTGATATCAAACTGCCTACGTATCCTTAACGGAATCAAACCGGCGTAGTTCGTAACTTTGTTGAGATTTGATGGGGCTTTGTGCCATTTGATTTTTTTATATAGCTTCATGCTTTAAGATAGTTTGCATCTATAGCATTTGAAGTGATTTACATCCTCCACGGAATCGATGTCCTTTCCATATTGTGAGTGCCATATTGTCTGGCCCAATATTTAATCACAGAGTTCAAAATTTGTAAAGTCACGTGAGTAAACAAATGTTGTTTTATTCCTTCAATTCTCACATGGGGCAACATTCCCAATGAAATTAGGAACTTTGATGCGTGTAGCATCTATTGGATATCTAGGAACTTTGTTTACAGACTTCTCTCTTACTCTTGAAAAGTGTTGGAGTTTCACTTAGTCAAAGTAGTAGGAACAAAAGTAGGCCTATCTTTCCTAAGGTTGCCACGTGAGTTTCCCAATTACTTTGGGAAGTTTGATAGCAAGTTTTTTTTCTTTTCCTTTGAACTTGGGTTGAACTCTTCAAGTCCAAATAGAACTTCATGTGGTGAAAAGAAGATCACATCCACAATTTGTACTTAATTTCGATGTGATAAAAACCTCTTTATATTTTAGGCTGAAGTTCTTCTTTTCCTTTTGAGTATTAAACTCGTTTTTTTTTTCTTTTCCTTCGCAGCTTCTTGACCATGTTGCTTATCTTTCAAATTCCTAACACAAAGACTTTGGGTGAAACTCTTGAACAACATATTCTTTTCTTTTCCCCATTTGTCTCTGTTGACCCTAAAAACTACCAAGCCTACGTGGCGCGTAGGCCGAGTAATCTATAAGCTAACTACGTCATTCAGTTCAATGCGGGGCGTGCCAACTCGTCGACCGAGCTCAGCCGAGGAGTAAAATATGCTGATGTTGTGTTGAGTACGCGGTCGACTTCTGCGTCTTGAGATTGCGACTGAGGAAGGAACACGTCTCGGCCTCTTGGGGTCTCGAACCTGAAGACAAGGCTACTATTCTTACAAAGTTCACAAATCATCGACGTCGGATTCGGTCACAATGATGGTATTCGTCAGAGTAAACTCACGCCGAATCGACACCAAAGTGTAAGGGCAAAAATACTCAAAGCGGATATATGTCTTAACAATAAACTTAGTTCGGCCATTGGAATGCCGAACTCTAAATCCCACTTGAGAGTATCCAATCATAAACTAACTCGGCGTGCAGTATGCCGAGCCTAATAAACTGTAACACCTCACTTCGCCGAGAAGGCTAATGAGATGACCTCGACCAATAAGGATTCGGAAATCCTTTTTTATTGAGACTTGGATAGATAACCAGTCACCCTTGCCGCAGTGTTATCTATGCCGACTGAAGATGCTACAAGACCGGTTGGTTCTACAATGACAGTGCTATCTATGCCACTGAAGATATCATCGGTTGCCTTCACAGTGCTGTTTATCCAAACTGAATGTGTGTCGGCGAAAAAGAAAAGGAAAATATCTCAAGGTTATTGAGAGAATTTGCACAGGGCAGTTGTGTGTTGAATTGGAAGGGGCTTGAACGATGCACAGCCTCTTCTATTTATAGCACCAGGCACTTTCTAAACCGAGTTAAAACCCTACTCGGATTAGGATTTCCTCTTCTCATCAAACATCATCTCGACCAGTCCTATTTTCACTATGACTTTGAACCTAGTCCTTTATCAAACCGGATTCACTTCTATCCATATCTTGCCGAGACTCCTTATTGCACCAGGATTCAATTACTCGTCTCGCAGCATGACTTGACCGACCTAGGTTTGGAAGCCCACGAACTAAATGATCTACAATAACCTTTTTTGTACGCCCTTCCGGGCCGAGAATACATCTCAGCCCAAACCAATATTTTGGGCCCAAACATTGCCCCATCGCTTCCGATGACTTTTTTCAGCCTGAAGTCTCTGATGGAGCCCTGACCTTGAAGAAGCGATACCAAGCTCCATCTCCCGATAAGCATTTATGAAGCACGATTGCACGATCTTAATCTCGTCAGATATCTCATCAAGTGTTCTCTTCTCAGCCCAACCTGAAGTGTCCTTTCATCATTATCCCCTTGATCCGCGAGATTTTTTGAATTTCTCAAGACGTGCGGATGTCCAAACATCTTCAAATCAATATACCTATCGCCGCATGCCATCATGCAATCTCGATTTGCCAATCTTTCGGTACCCTCGAGTTCGTGTGGACACCAAAACATCATTTCTTTATAAAAGGATGTCGTCACGATATCATCATGACCCCTTAATCTGCGAGTTTTTTTGTTCTTTCTCCTGAGTCTGTTAATATTCTCCATCACTCCATCATTATTAGCGATCTTCCCGATCACTATCCCCATTTGGTCTTCCATTCCACGAGTCTATAAATACCTGGCCTTCTATCATTCATTCTTACGCTTTCAAATTTTCCAAACT